GATCATGAGCATAAGATTTCACTCTACTGTATGCTGATGATGTTATCCTTTTTTGTCTAATCTAACCACAAGCCTTCCAAATTTGACGAAGCAAATTAACACATTTGGCCCCTTCTGTAGTTATGTCATTAATGATTCTAAGTCTTCAATTTTATTCTTAAATAATGAGGAAACACTGAATCCTGCAGTTACCACTCCTTTCTTAAATGCGCAAGAGGGATTCACTTACTTGGGTGTCAGGATTACCCCTGATATTAAAAATATAGTTCAAGCTAATTTTGATCCTTTAATGTCTGAAGTTCAGCAATCACTGGATAGATGGCAAACTTTACCTATCTCAATGATGGGTCACATAAATATAATTAAAATGAGCATCTTACCAAATGTTTTATATTTATTTCAAACTATACCACTTTCATTAACAAATACAATGAACCTTTCAACATATCGCCACATTTTAGGCTTCAAACATAAAGATATAAAAATGTTTTTTTTTGTCAAGAATCAACAAGTGGGACACAATCGTGAAGTGGAACAAAATTTATTGGATAATTTAAACTTGTTTAACAAATAAAAAACTGAAAAGTGGGGCGTGCAATATTATTCGGCCCCCTTGCGCTAATACTTTGTAGCGCCACCTTTTGCTGCAATTACTGCTGCAAGTCGCTTGGGGTATGTCTCTATCAGTTTTGCACATCGAGAGACTGGAATTCTTGCCATTCTTCCTTGCAAAAAAGCTCGAGCTCAGTGAGGTTAGATGGAGAGCGTTTGTGAACAGCAGTCTTCAGCTCTTTCCACAGATTCTCGATTGGATTCAGGTCTGGACTTTGACTTGGCCATTCTAACACCTGGATACGTCTATTTGTGAACCATTCCATTGTAGATTTGGCTTTCTGTTTTGGATCATTGTCCTGTTGGAAGATAAATCTCCGTCCCAGTCTCAGGTCTTTTGCAGACTCCAACAGGTTTTCTTCCAGAATGCTCCTGTATGTGACTCCATCCATCTTCCCATCAATTTTAGCCATCTTCCCTGTCCCTGCTGAAAAAAGCAGGCCCAAACCATGATGCTGCCACCACCATGTTTGACAGTGAGGATGGTGTGTTCAGGGTGATGAGCTGTGTTGCTTTTACGCCAAACATATCGTTTTGCATTGTGGCCAAAAAGTTCGATTTTGGTTTCATCTGACCAGAGCACCTTCTTCCACATGTTTGGTGTGTCTCCCAAGTGGCTTGTGGCAAACTTTAAACGAGACTTTTTATGGATATCTTTGAGAAATGGCTTTCTTCTTGCCACTCTTCCATAAAGGCCAGATTTGTGCAGTGCACGACTGATTGTTGTCCTATGGACAGACTCTCCCACCTAAGCTGTAGTTATCTGCAATTCATCCAGAGTGATCATGGGCCTCTTGGCTGCATCTCTGATCAGTCTTCTCCTTGTTTGAGATGAAAGTTTGGAGGGACGGCCGGGTCTTGGTAGATTTTCAGTGGTCTGATACTCCTTCCATTTCAATATAATTGCTTGCACAGTGCTCCTTGAGATGATTAAAGCTTGGGAAATCTTTTTTTATCCAAATCCGGCTTTAAACTTCTCCACAACAGTATCTCGGACCTGCCTGGTGTGTTCCTTTGTCTTCATGGTTCTCTCTGCGCTTTAAACAGAACCCTGAGACTATCAAAGAGCAGGTGCATTTATACGGAGACTTGATTACACACAGGTGCATTCTATTTATCATCATCAGTCATTTAGGACAACATTGGATCATTCAAAGATCCTCACTGAACATCTGGAGTGAGTTTGCTGCACTGAAAGTAAAGGGGCCGAATAATATTGCACGCCCCACTTTTCAGTTTTTATTTGTTAAAAAAGTTTAAATTATCCAATAAATTTTGTTCCACTTTACGATTGTGTCCCACTTGTTGTTGATTCATGACAAAAAAACTAAAATTTTATATCTTTATGTTTGAAGCCTGAAATGTGGCAAAATGTTGAAAGGTTCAAGGGGGCCGAATACTTTCGCAAGGTACTGTAACTTCTTTACCAAACTTAACAGGATGCTTTGAACTTTATTTGGAATAATAAGAAAGCCAGATTGAGACTGAGGCTGCTTTACTTGTCATATGAAACTGGAGGGTGTCAACTACCCAAAAGTGGTATTATTGGTCAGCTCAGATACGTTCGGCTATGTATTATTTTTCAACACACACACTACCCGCTTGGGTAACCATTGAACAAAAATCAATACCAATCCTATTGCTAAAACATTATTTATACTCAGCTGACTTTAAAGTACTTAAAAAAACAGACCAATAATCCATTTCTGAAGAACACAATTGATATCAACCTATCGCTGGAGCCACAGTCAGGGACAAACAGAGACTACAGCGCATTGTGCGCTGTGCAGAGGAAGTGATCGCTGCAGGACCTGTACGTCGCCCGAGCTCGAGGCCGGGCTGGTCGTATCACAGCCGACCCCTCTCACCCTGCACATGGACTATTCCAACCACTCCCCTCAGGCAGGAGACTGCGGTCCATCAGGACTAGAACCTCCCGCCACAAGAACAGTTTCTTCCCCTCTGCTGTTGGACTCTTGAACACTTCTTAACCTGTCCCCCCGCCCTTTATAAAGTCACTTTACTGCCCATCATAGGTTATTTCTCTGTTTTATAGAGCTCTGGTGTCACATGGTACAGAATCTAAGAACAGACTAGAAGCATGGAAATTGGAGGTTCAAGAAAATATTGAGGTAGCCGATTGGGAAAATGCATGTCTTAAAGCACAAAAGCAAACAATTAATAAATGAGGTTATTACAATATAAATGGCTAATGAGAACTTATGTGACTCCTGTGAAATTACATCAGTTGACCCCTGGAATTCCTGACAACTGTAATAAATGTTTTACTGATTAGGTACTCTTTTTCATTGTGTGTGGGACTGTTGGAAAATTAAGAAATATTGGAAATCTGTTACCCAAACTATTTCCACAATAGTTGGAATTGAAGTTCCTCATTGTGCAACACTTTGTATTTTAGGGATATACCCTAAGGACTATGCTAAACAAAAAGAAAACTACCCTATAGACTTTGGTCTTCTGCTGGCCAGGAGAACTATTACCTTATTTTGGAAAAACGTGGACGTCCCTCCTTTAAAGTTGTGGCTACAGGAAATTACATTGTGCATTGCACTTGAAAGACTTACAGTGGGGCAAAAAAGTATTTAGTCAGCCACCGATTGTGCAAGTTCTCCCACTTAAAATAATGAGTAGGATTTTTATAGAATTTTTGGTAAAGAATTATGGTGGAAAATAAGTATTTGGTCACTTCAAACAAGGAAAATCTCTGGCTTTCACAGACCTGCAACTTCTTCTTTAAGAAGCTCTTCTGTCCTCCACTCGTTACCTGTATTAATGGAACCTGTTTGAACTGATTATCTGTATAAAAGACACCTGTCCACAGCCTCAAATAGTCAGACTCCAAACTCCACTATGGGCAAGACCAAAGAGCTGTCGAAGGACACCAGGAAAAGAATTGTAGACCTGCACCAGACTGGGAAGAGTGAATCTACAATAGGCAAGCAGCTTGGTGTGAACAAATCAACTGTGGGAGCAATTAACAGAAAATGGAAGACATACAAGACCACTGATTATCTTCCTCGATCTGGGGCTCCACGCAAGACCTCATCCCGTGGGGTCAAAATGATCATGAGAACAGTGAAAAATCCCAGAACCACACGGGGGGACCTGGTGAATGACCTGCAGAGAGCTGGGACCAAAGTAACAAAGGTTACCATCAGTAACACACTACGACGACAGGGAATCAAATGCTGCAGTGCCAGACGTGTCCCCTTGCTGAAGCCAGTGCATGTCCAGGCCCATCTGAAGTTTGCCAGAGAGCACATGGATGATACAGCAGAGGATTGGGAGAATGTCATGTGGTCAGATGAAACCAAAGTAGAACTGTTTGGTATAAACTCAACTCGTCGTGTTTGGAGGAAGAAGAATACTGAGTTGCATCCCAAGAACACCATACCTACTGTGAAGCATGGGGGTGGAAACGTCATGCTTTGGGGCTGTTTTTCTGCTAAGGGGACCGGACGACTGATCCATGTTAGGGAAAGAATGAATGGGGCCATGTGTCGCTTGAAGATGAAACGTGGCTGGGTCTTCAAGCATGACAATGATCCCAAACACACCGCCCGGGCAATGAAGGAGTGGCTCCGTAAGAAGCATTTGAAAGTCCTGGAGTGGCCTAGCCAGTCTCCAGACCTCAACCCCATTGAAAATCTGTGGAGGGAGTTGAAAGTCCGTGTTGCTCGGCGACAGCCCCATAACATCACTGCTCTCGAGAAGATCTGCACGGAGGAATGGGCCAAAATACCAGCTACTGTGTGCAAACCTGGTAAAGACCTATAGTAATCGTTTGACCTCTGTTAATGCCAACAAAGGTTATAATACAAAGTATTGAGTTGAATTTTTGTTATTGACCAAATACTTATTTTCCACCATAATTTACAAATACATTCTTTAAAAATCCTACAATGTGAATTCCTGGATTTTTTCTCTCACAGTTGAAGTGTACCTATGATGAAAATTACAGACCTCTGTCATTATTTTAAGTGGGAGAACTTGCAAAATCGGTGGCTGACTAAATACTTTTTTTCCCCACTGTACATATGTTGCAAGAGGAAGAGGGGAGGAATTTGAAAACGTTTTGAGACCCTTGATTGAATTTTTGGAAAAAAGTGACTTGTATTTTGATTCTTGTATAAGTGTACTTATTTTTATTATTATTATTGGTAGTCATTCCTATTGTTACCAACTTCGACTGGTAATGTCTGTGTGTGCGTTGTTTTTTTATGTAAATATTTCACTAAAATTCAATAAAAATAATGTTAAAAAAAAAAAAAAGTAGTTTCATAATTGTTTTAATTCTTCTTTAAAGATGCACTATGAGTCTTTGCTCTAGCCATATCAAGTTGTAGGTGGCAATAAAAAAGCTAAACTCAATAGATGCCATACAGAAAGGTTTGGATCTTCTTCTTCTAAGTAATGCAATACATTGTGAGTAGTGATGTCAGTAGTGATGGTACAGGTTTTTTGAGTGCTTTCAAACTTACAGAAAATAACATGTTTTTCTTGTCCTGGTTGACAGCGCGTGGATCAGGGACAGCATCTGTGTGCTTGATCACACTTACAGACTCACCTGTTTAGAAGGAAATAATATTGAACAAAACCACAACATTAAAGGGAAAAGTATTGTCCTTTTCATCAATCACCAGTAAGGATGGACTGATCGACACGCAGGGTCGTAGATTTAACGGAGATGATCCTGATGTCGGCTGGCACTTTGTCACCAACTGAAGGCAAATATAAAAAATGACTCAGAAAAAAACATTATATATGTTTTTAACAAAAAAATATGAACAAATGGAGTACCTGTTTACTTTTTTCAAACTTCAACTTATTAGAAAACATGCTCTCTTCTAAGAAAGAGTTGTGTGAGTCACAATTTGACTTTTTGAGCTAAGAGTTGAAGAACTGGCTGAGTGGGGGTGCTCCTCTCTTTTTCACATTTCTGTCGGAAAAATCTGTTAGATTGAAAATATTACAGAGGTAATTGTTGTGGGGTTATAAAAATTAGGTACCCTAGCTTTAACTGGACGAACATAGTGAAAATGATGCAAGCTTTTCTGCCTGCATTGTCTGCATGGGAATGATGTGGCCGGGGCTCTGGTTTTAGCCTCTGTCTGTCTGGATGCAGTGTTGATGTTGAAAGCTGATCTGACCTTGGGGAGAATGTGAAGTGAAATGAACAGGTGCACTGCAAACACAAGGAACAGCCACAAGCAGAGGGCGTTCACTTTTAAGTGTATTTATACACTTGTTTTGTTTGTTTTGCCACCTTCTTCAGATGCCCTCCTCCTCCTCCTTATACTGCCTTATAAGGATGCATGCTTTCCTGCCCAGAATCACCCTCATGAACCATTTTATTAATTACTACTACATATTTTGTAAGCAATTGAATATAATTTGTTATAATATTTATTTATTTCTGCTACGCAAATGCACTCTTTGCGTAGCAGAAATAATGTTTTGTGACAAAGCCTTCCAGCGTATGTACAAGTGATCTACAATGCTCCCTCACTAAAATGTTTCTCATGCTTTACATGAACTGCATACTCCATCATCATACACCGCTAGCATAATGTCAGTTATCTTTATTTAAAGTCAGAAGAATACTTTTGGAGCTTGTGTGTACCGTGGTTATTAGTTCAGAGGACGACCACGGTCTTCACCCCTCAGTGAAGTGTCCTCTGCAGCAGTATTTTACAGTGTAAGCACGGCTTTTGACAGCTGCAGTGGCGCACAGGTTTATTATAAGTGTGATCGCAAGTTCCGGTGGTTATTAAGTGTAACCACAGCATTAAAACCTTTAGCTGCTACATCGAGGATTCCGCTTACAGCGGGTCAATTACAGCTCACCCCTACAGCTCACCACATCACCCCCGTACTACAACGACTCCACTGGCTTCCTGTCAAACAATGCATCAACTTCAAAATACTCCACCACTTTCAAAGTACTTCACAACCTGGCCCCTCCGTACTTATCTGACCTCCTCCACCCTGCCACTCCTGCCTGCACACTCCGCTTCTCCTCCACCCTCACACTCTCCGTCCCCCCAGCCAGACTCATTACCGTGGGACACAGAGCCTTCAGCCACTCTGCCCCCAGCTCTGGAACTCTGGGGGGCAGAACCCCCCTGACCTCCGTACCATTGACTCTCTTCCACTCTTCAAATCCAGACTCAAAACCCATCTGTTCAGACTGTCCTACCCCACCTAACACACATGCACCCACCATTCCATATTGCACTACTGTTTTATTCTGTTGCTCCTGTTTTTAATGTTTTCATTATGCCTGTACAGTGTCCTTGGGTGTTTTTTTAAGATAAGAGTTCCTTTAATCGTCCCACAGTGGGGAAATTTCGTTGTTGCAGCGCACATACAGGACAGTAGTAAGAGCACACAGGGAGCACACAATATATACAAAATACGTAGTAGCTATGTTTCTTAACTAGCATAACTGGCTGTAGATGCTGGAAATGCTTCAATACCAGTTCATTCTGAAGTTGCAGTATTGCACATTGCACATGATTTAAGAATTTACTTATTTACAGATGAATGAAATTTACAGGCTCAGCAGTTCTTATTGTACAGTCTGACAGCAGCAGGAAGGAAAGACCTACGGAACCTCTCCTTCACACAGCGGGGGTGAATTAGTCTGTCACTGAAACTGCTCTCCAGAGCAGAGAGAGTGTCCTGCAGGGGGTGACAGTCATGGTCCAGCATAGATGTTAGTTTGCTCAGGACCCTTCTGCCCCCCACCTGCTGCACTGTGTCCAAGGAACAGCCCAGGACTGAGCTGGACTTCCTGATGACCTTGTCCAGCTTCTTCCTGTCCCTCTCTGTGATGCTGCTGTTCCAGCAGACCACACCCTACAAGACGGCTGATGCCACAACAGAGTCAAAGAAGGTCTTGGCGCTTTTAAATAAAATGTATTATTATTATTATAATGAATCTAATAGCATGTATATCTGACCGACAGAACAACAAAAAAAGCGTAATTATCAGAGCATTTACAGTGCCTTGCGAAAGTATTCGCCCCCCTTGAACCTTTCAACATTTCGCCACATTTCAGGCTTCAAACATAAAGATATAAAATTTAAATTTTTTGTCAAGAATCAACAACAAGTGGGACACAATCGTGAAGTGGAACGAAATTTATTGGATAATTTAAACTTTTTTAACAAAAGTGGGGCGTGCAATATTATTCGGCCCCTTTACTTTCAGTGCAGCAAACTCACTCCAGAAGTTCAGTGAGGATCTTTGAATGATCCAATGTTGTCCTAAATGACTGATGAGGATAAATAGAATGCACCTGTGTGTAATCAAGTCTCCGTATAAATGAACCTGCTCTTTGATAGTCTCAGGGTTCTGTTTAAAGCGCAGAGAGAACCATGAAGACAAAGGAACACACCAGGCAGGTCTGAGATACTGTTGTGGAGAAGTTTAAAGCCGGATTTGGATACAAAAAGATTTCCCAAGCTTTAAACATCTCAAGGAGCACTGTGCAAGCAATTATATTGAAATGGAAGGAGTATCAGACCACTGCAAATCTACCAAGACCCGGCCGTCCCTCCAAACGTTCATCTCAAACAAGGAGAAGACTGATCAGAGATGCAGCCAAGAGGCCCATGATCACTCTGGATGAATGGCAGATAACTACAGCTGAGGTGGGAGAGTCTGTCCATAGGACAACAATCAGTCGTGCACTGCACAAATCTGGCCTTTATGGAAGAGTGGCAAGAAGAAAGCCATTTCTCAAAGATATCCATAAAAAGTCTCGTTTAAAGTTTGCCACAAGCCACTTGGGAGACACACCAAACATGTGGAAGAAGGTGCTCTGGTCAGATGAAACCAAAATCGAACTTTTTGGCCACAATGCAAAACGATATGTTTGGCGTAAAAGCAACACAGCTCATCACCCTGAACACACCATCCTCACTGTCAAACATGGTGGTGGCAGCATCATGGTTTGGGCCTGCTTTTCTTCAGCAGGGACAGGGAAGATGGCTAAAATTGATGGGAAGATGGATGGAGCCAAATACAGGACCATTCTGGAAGAAAACCTGTTGGAGTCTGCAAAAGACCTGAGACTGGGACAGAGATTTATCTTCCAACAGGACAATGATCCAAAACATAAAGCCAAATCTACAATGGAATGGTTCACAAATAGACGTATCCAGGTGTTAGAATGGCCAAGTCAAAGTCCAGACCTGAATCCAATCGAGAATCTGTGGAAAGAGCTGAAGACTGCTGTTCACAAACGCTCTCCATCCAACCTCACTGAGCTCCAGCTGTTTTGCAAGAAAGAATGGGCAAGAATTCCAGTCTCTCGATGTGCAAAACTGATAGAGACATACCCCAAGCGACTTGCAGCTGTAATTGCAGCAAAAGGTGGCGCTACAAAGTATTAGCGCAAGGGGGCCGAATAATATCGCATGCCCCACTTTTCAGTTTTTTATTTGTTAAAAAAGTTTGAATTATCCAATAAATTTTGTTCTACTTCACGATTGTGTCCCACTTGTTGTTGATTCATGACAAAAAATTCAATTTTTATATCTTTATGTTTGAAGCCTGAAATGTGGCGAAATGTTGAAAGGTTCAAGGGGGCCGAATACTTTCGCAAGGCACTGTATAGTAGCAATATAAGATTTTCATGTCAAGTCATCATTAAAGGGCCCTAATATGTCAAAAGGCATTAATATCTTTTCCGATACTTCTTACTTCTTTATTTCAGCCGAGATATTTTAATTTCAAAATTGGTAAATCTTGTGGTTTTCATTTCGATGACCACCGTTTCACCAGTCAGAAAGTCCATGATCCGCGTTGCCAGAACTCACCGCATCGAGCTGATCCCACTGGTAAAGTCATGTCAGAGGCACAAGTTTTAATCCAACGTTTTAAACAGTTTTTTATATATGTTAATTGCATGGTTTGTGTTTTTAAATGTTCTACGTATTTATGGTTATAAACTACATGTGCCATGGCCCCTCCTCCCCCCATGCACCAGACAATCAGCGCACCTGTGGGGAACTGTATTTAAGAGCGGAAGACTGAGCAGAGAGAAGGAAAAAGAGGACACAGGGTAGCGGCGGGCTGGAGTGGCCTGGGCGGCTGGAGTTGCACCGGATGTATGGAACCGGGCCAGCGAGGAGTCCCGCCAGCCAGAGCCAACGGCGATGTGGTCTGGATGTGAGTGCACACCAAGACTTCTGGCTCTCACAGACCTTTAACTCCTTCTTTAAGAGGCTTCTCTGTCCTCCACTTGCCTGTATTAATGGCACATGTTTAAACTCATTATCAGTATGAAAGACACCTGTCCACAACCTCAAACAGTAGACCTGGACCAGGCTGGTAAGACTGCATCTGCAATAGGTAAGCAGCTTGGTGAGAAGAAATAAGAAAATGGAAGACACTGACCACTGGAAATCTCCCTCAATTTGAGGCTCGACGCAAGATCTCACCCCGTTGGGTCAAAATCATCACAAGAATGGTGAGCAAAAATCCCAGAACCACATAAGAGGACCTAGTGAATGACCCGCAGAGAGCTGGGACCAAAGTTACAAAGGCTACCATCAGTAACACACTACAAGCCAGGGAGAGAATGTCAGGGAGGTGGACCGGCTGGTGTCCTGGTGCAGTGGTAACAACCTGGAGCTGAACGCCCAGAAGACAGTGGAGATGATTGTGGACTTCAGGAAGAGCACTGTCCCCCCGCCCCCACCCTCCGTG